CTGGAATGTCCTCTGTCACGCATGGTTGGGTTAAGCTTGGATACCTGTTTATGTACCTGTCTGTATTTTAACTATTACCTGTCATGAAACGCGTTTAAACTGCCCGAGATTAACAGCTATATACGGGGCGTGGGAGAGAAGTAAGGAAGAGTATAATAAGAAAAGGGCATTGAGAAGAGAGAGACGAGGGTCAAGGCACACGTGGTTCAGTTAAGCTCAAATGACGGGGTAACAGTGCATGTACATGGTGATGGTCTTATTTTTACCTGTCACGAAATACTTCAGAATAATCAGGGTTTTAAGAGGATTTTAGGGTCTAGGAAGGGACTCGAGGAAGGGGGTTAGGATCGAAATGAGAGGGTAGGTGGCAGTACAAGAGTAGTGCATGATTTAGATAAATAGAGGAACCAGAGAGATACAATGTAGTGTGATTGACCCACTTGCTGTGCCTGCACCTTGTTTTGTGCAATCATTCAACGTAATGACAACGTAAGTCTGTTTATGATTAATATAAACGTTTTGGTGGTAATTAAAAAGCTAATGGGAACACGCGTGTCTATGTTTGTTAGTGTCCTTTGCTTTTTTTAGGTACTTCACTTATGTATATACTTACGTATGATCTTCATCAAATTGCAACGAATTTCATTAAATTCAAAATATTTGGCGTATGTCGTGGAACACATTATGTTTTTTTAGAGAGAGGTAAGCATTCCTTTCTTTCCTTGTCGGTGTGTCAGTCGCGATGTAAAATTAGCACCGCACGGTACACCAGGATGTGAAGCAATATACTGAAGGAGTGGTTGCTCAATACGGATACAAATATGATGGCATTCTATTTCTAGCATGATTGTTTAACGGTAATTTCTTTTCTGAAAAAAATAATAAAGTGATTTATATAAGGTGTTTTCTGTAACGTTAATGACATCTGCAGAACTTTCATTCTATGCTACACAAAACACTAAAATAAAAATCTTTCATCGCACCTAGCTAATTAGCAAAAGACAACAGCATTCGGTTACAACTGTTTAATTCTAAGATCACTTTGTGTGGCAGAAAACATACATGATGTGATATATCTCAGTAAATAAGTTCGATGAACTTTGTAATAATCCAATCATCCTTTGTGTGTAGAGGACTAGCACTCTGTGTCCCTTTACTTTGCGTTATCTAGATCTGAAAAGAGATAAAAACGAAACAATTACCTCTCAATTTCTCATATTGTCTATATTTCTGATGACAAAAGACAAAAGCATTATAGCCAGTACACACACACAAACACACACATTCACATACACACACACAAACACACATTCACACGCATGCACACCCGCACACACGCACAGGCACACGCACTCACACACACATACACACAGGCCTATATATAATCAAGATTAAAATTATTTTTGCTTTCTGTTCGCCAGTGTGATATTGCGACCACACTCAAGAGCAATTTAAAATCAGCTCGTATTTCAAGCTCGAACAATTATATACTCATGGAAAAAAACAAAATATGTTTTTTTCTTATTGTACTAGTAAAATCATTGACCCATTTATGCATAATGGGTGCAAAGTATAATCAAGAGATAGAAGTGAAGCAAACGAAAAAACCACAAATAAAAAATAGATCATAAACAATTTTCAATGCAGACCAGGTGCCAGGAAAAAAAGGCTCATTTTTCACACGAAAACTATTTATTCTTCTTGATTTGTAAGGCTTTCACATGTATTATCCTTATCACCGATATCGGATAGCTAGTTGCACTTATTTTAAAAGAGGTCTCTTTTTAAGGCACACACCTTTTTCGCAGTGTTTTCCGCCAAACCCCGACACACATTCACACCATACGTTCCCACTGAAGACATAGCAAGTGGAGCCGTTTAAACAAGGCGAGCTGGCACAGGGGTCGCGCCCTGAAAAGAATATAGATATTTCGAAAATAAAAACATAATTGTAGTTAAATGATTTTTTGTCTAAATACAGGAATAAGGAAACTGGCAAAGACGGTGGATAACCCTCACCTTCCCAAGCATCGTCACTGTTGTAAATATTACACGAACAATCTATGAAATAACTGAACACTCATGTACACATCGAACAGAAGAAGGGAATCCTTCGCGAGGAGGAGAATTCTCATGTTTGAGAGGAGTGAAAGGGGTGTGCTGTAAGTCTGTTGAAATATGTTACATTATGCATGAAAGGATTGGAATCTAAACAGGTGTGGATAAAGTCGAAAACGGCTGCAACAGAAATTGAATGGCAGATATAAATGACGAGACATTTCAATAATAAAAAAAGCACCTAAAGATGCCACCACTCACCCAGAGACCCTAGACAATGAATATGGTTAAAACAATTAAAAACTTCAAAAATGGTAAATTTTGGGATTTTCAAGTTTCCTATGCCTCTTGATAGATGGCTACTCACTGTACCTTTTACACAAGTCTCATACTCTTTCGTCAAATGAGCTAAAGTCTTCTCAGCCAGTCTCAGCTCCAAGTCTAACATGGCGTCGCGCTTCTTCAATATGGACGCAGTTTCTGTCGTCTGTCGTCTGCCCAGAATAAGCAAATTTTCAGCCAGCTTTCTGTCGAAAAAGGAAGGACATTCTTTATGCAATTTCTCTCCAATTTCGTAAATTCCTCTGTTCAGTTCTGTCAGTTTTGTCGGGCTGCTGACTTGGGCAAAGCTGGTATTGTATTCGAGGACATAGAGTGCGGTCACTTTTACTAGCAACAGAACGTTGAAAATCCTTGCAACCATGTTTGATGAGGGGTGTCCTTGACTGTGACAGTTGGTAGAGAGGCTTGCTGCGGGAAATGTCCTAACATATTTTGGGGAGAAAATATTTCAAAAACATTCAGAAATATGTGGACGAATTTACGTGTGCGTATTATTATCATAAGAAGCCTAAGACTAAATACAATCTTGTGGGAGATTGAAAATAAAGCGCTACAAATGAACCAAAATTAGAAACAACCTGTTGGAGCCTTAATTTTCTTATCTCTTCTCCGCACTGAGAAAGCTATGGGAACTGGACATCTGCAGCAGGAACGCGGCCATTTTGTCCAGGCTGTCCCAGTGCTAATTTTACGCATCATGCATTGTTTTCAGTACAGAAGTTAAAGTCAATTGAATTACTGTGCTGGTTAAGTGTCTATATGTATACCTTTACCCGTACTCCTATACCTGTAATCATACTCCTATACCTTTACCCATACTTCTATACCTCTACATATACTCTTACACCTATACTCCTATACTTCTATACCTATACCCATGCTCTTATACCTATACCCATACTATACCTATACTCCCCCTTACCGTTACGTCACCACTCCGATACTCCTCTGCATTTTACGTCCCCGCACCGTTGCTTCCCCGCACCAAATTTTTTTTTTCGGGAACCAAAAGTGAAAGATGAAGGAATTTAAGGAACAGTAACTAAAATCGGGGTGCTTTGTCGATGTTTCAGGTCAAACTTTGTGTGGGGCTCTAGGCTACCGTAAAGTACTTTTTTGTGATTTTAAAGAAATATTTCTATGCCTCACTTTGATCTTCATCTGTGGTATTGGTGTTCAAATTAAACCCCCTTTATATCTATCTATTTATTTGTTTTCGAATTGCACGCAATATTATGAATTTCAATCGGTTTGATGTCAGTGCTAGAACTCCAGTAACAGCGTGCTTTCCATCGCTTGGGGTACTGATTTTGACCAACTCCCACAAAATTTGTAGCAAGAGAAAATTCTACAATATTTTAAGCTCTTGAACTTGGCTCTATGAATGCAATGCTGACAAACACAAATCGTCACTTTAAAGGGCGTGAGACTGGGTAAAATGACATTGTCGAAGAGGTCACAAGCACAGTGCAACAAGGGTTTAAATACGGAGGATTCGCAGGATCATAGTAATTGAGAAAACCAGTCTAAAAGACTACTTAAATTAATATGTGAAATACACATTGCATTTTTTTTCTTCTAGTGGGAGAGGCCATCAAACACAGAAAACGCTGAGTCCAGATAAATGTATCTTATTGTAAACTGAATCATCATTGAAAACATTTACAGATGAAATGTGAAAATGATCCACGGTTTTTAGTATTTACAAATACGCATAGAAAACTTGTTTAAATCTTAAATACATTTCCATTTATGCCATTGCCCATAAACATCACACAGCAGAATACCCGAAAACATATTTATCAGTCTGGAATCATATTAAATATCTTAATTAGAAAGTAGCAAGCGGCCAGATTACTCAGTGTCATTCTTATACCACAGGCTTATTGAACATGCAAGTTCTGGTAGTTAAATTGTCTATTTAAGTAGCTGTATATAATTTGTTCTATTAGTAGGGAACTCGCTGTACACGTATATTAAAGAACACTTTACGAAGCTACATTCTTATCGTTTTGACTACAATCTTTACCAACTCTCTCTTATTTGAACGGGTTCTTTGACCGCATGCCGTCTAGAAAATAAAACGAACAAACAACCCTTAGCCACGAAGATTTCCTTGATCACGCTTTGATTATGTGGAAACAAAATACATAAGTAAATCCTTATCAGATACTGAAATTATATCATCTCTGACGTCATAAATAACCAACCAATAACAAAAGTTCCCTCAGTTTATAGGTATCGACACGATATCAAGATGAAGACATAAACAGTTTGGAACGATTAACCTATAACCACTGCATTTCTGAAGGATGGCATAAAGAAAAGTAGTTAACACAATGAATTACGAGATATTTTCAACTTGTACAGAAAAACACCACTTAATTCACAAGTTTCGGAAATCGGAAACATTTTTTAACAGAAATCAAAACAAATTTTAAGCTTTTTTTGGTAAATGAATAAACTGATCTTTTCTAAGCGGACGTAACTCATTGCTCATGAAGTCAGCAGCTTATATATCACCACTATGGGTCCGTTGTTGGTTGTGCAAGTATTATGTAGTTATACTAAATTACCCAGAAAAAAATGTCAATTGACAATTTTTAATTCACATAAAACTCCTCTCCTCTCTTTGCCTTACACACACACAGGCACACACATATACACAAACAAACAGGCTTTCTGTCATTCAACTGTAACGTTTTCTATCCTTTACAACTTCCTTTGAAACACATTATTCTGGTTTGACTAATGCAAGCATATAAAAACGAAGCTTTGACTTGGACACCGCTTGGTAGTTATTTCGTCTACCAAAGACTTAAAGAAACTTATTAACATACCTTATGGCAATGTAGAGCAGTGATGCTCTGTAATATACTTGGAATTCTTACATGTTTGTGTGCTATTGGGTAGCACTTCACAGATTCATATAACAATGTATGACATTGAAATGTTCGTACCACAAATACCATTTTGCACCAACAGGGAATAAAAAATCCAATGGGATGTTTACATATCTATGTACATGTTGTTGCACTTTAAAAAATAACATACAAGTTATTTCCATTGCCAAGCACTGCTGTCTCAATACAGAAAATTCACTGATGAAAAGATACCAACAACTTGATCACAAACTTTCGCAGAAGTGCAATTGTTCAAGAAATATAACATTTTTCATTCAGAATTACCATGTTTCACACTTTATATTGAAAATATAGAATTGCACTCAACAGTTAATTTTCAGCAATTTAAAACCCTGAATTAAACAAATCTTTCATTTCCTACCTAAATCTTGACAGATTTTTCGAATTTACAAAATCATATTTTGCCTCCCAGACAGACTGTACACACACATTCTGACCAATTATCACATAAACTGCAAAAGGCAAAGTTCATGTTTCACAGCAATGACAAGAAAACAAGGCAATTATTTTTGCACACTCCCATCTTTTAACTGTAATTTACCACAATGAAGCAGAATACCATTTAACAGCATGAATTTTTTTTTTTTTCATACATGAACAAATTTCAAGAAGCACAACTTCCATTTACGTCTCAACTGAACCTCCTATCCATGTCTTCTCATCTTCTTTCACAAACAAGAACCTAACTTGACGTAAGAGGCTCTTGTTTAACTATGGCAACAGATGGCGCTGGATGCTTCTGTACAACCATATCAATGTCAAGGTCACTGGACTCCCTCAATACCCCTGCTGCCACCTGGAGCCTATTCAAATTGTACACTCCAGGGGAGTTGAAACAGGCCACCAGGTGGAGTGTGTGTGTCTCTAGGGGCTGGAGCTGGAGTGTGCTGTGGATTTTTCCAGACCAGCTGAAACCTGACGATGTTGGCTCCAGGATGATGTCAGAGGTTGTGGATTCAGCATGGGATCTGAAGATGAGTGTGAAATATTATTGTAATATTACACAGAATTGCCACATATCTGGTGTGCATGTTTTGTCACGTAAACAAATTATCTTATGTGCACGTGAATGATATTTTAAGTAAAATGTGCATGTGCGTGCGTCCACGTGCACGACTGAACGCACGCGTGTGTGTGTGTGAGAGAGAGAGAGAGAGAGAGAGCCTGTACCTGTGTGAGCTGGGTTCACGGGAAGACATATCAACTTTCACTGTGTTCTGTGATGTGTTATGCAGCACTATACTAACTGGCATGTAACACAGCCTGAAATAAACAATAATACGGGATTTGAATTGACAAATATATGACAACACAATTATTTGACTTTTAAATGAGTTATAAAGCAGTATTTCCTTCATCTGAAATTTTAACACAAGTTTAAAGACATTAAAGCAAATACCGTAAGTCGTTATACTTCTAAGCAAAAAAAAAAAAAGGTCTTCATTTAAGGACAGCCATTTGACTAATTATTGAGACAAAGCGCTCAACTTTCCTCACATTGCATCATATTCAAATTAGTGAAAATGAAGAAGTATCTGGCATTGTGCACCAAAGTCACAGTAAAACATATAAAAGCTAGTTTTTCATTTCCTAAAATAAATTACACAGTACAATGGATAAATGTAATATATTTTCTTATCAGCATATGCTAACTCACCTGTTCTTGTGGAAATTATGCAGTACCGTCATATTGTGCCGTAAGCATATCTTGAGTAGCTGAGAGACCAGTTCAGGATTGGGGTGGCTTGGCAATGAAGGGGCGCGGTCCTTGATTATTTTCACTGGGGCATGCTCTACAGGCACCTGTATGCATGGAATTAAATGGCAAAGTTTATCAACCTATTAAAATACCAGGGAAATTATAGAATCCATACACTAAACAATGTACATAAAACAAGTAAAATCTCATCCACTTCTATGGGTAAAACAGCAGCGAAATCAGATATAACAGTTAAAATAAACATAGCTGCTTTGTAATATCCTTCAGTTGCCAAGATACTTACAAGTTATACTCAAATAAATTTCAGTTTTTCACAATATCAAAAATATGTTAAGGCAAATTATCAATTTCTGCATAATTCTATGGATTTGTCCAGTTCACAAAAAGGACATATTTGATATATTTCACAAAAAGGAAGTTTTTATTAAATCTAACACTGGACTTACAATTTGGACAATCTTTTTTAAATTCTGTATATTTCAATCTCTGTATATATTTGTCCCTACCTTGCTCACAGCAGGGGAGTAGGCAGGGGTATCCAGGCTGTCTATATGGAGGTGATGTTGTCCCTGTATTGTCCCTATAGCACCACTCTCTGTCACCACCTTGAACTGATTATGAAGATAATATTGATGAACAAAATGGACTGGGCAAGATCTAGATAGAGAAAAATCTTGCCTATATTAAAAGTTTTGCTTTCAGTTCATGGTCAACCATTCAAAGCAAGTGAAGGTCAATCATTGTTTTCAAAATATTTTCTAAGCAGCATGACCAAATTCAAAGTTTCAGTTTCAAAGACTTTAAGGACTCCTTAAAATCATAACAGGTGTCATTATCAAGTTAAGAATCGAGCATTATTTTTGCTTTCTACAGTCTAACTTTCAAATGAGTAATTGCCAGTTTGTGAACGTTAACGAAAATCTTAGGCAATTTCTTAATGCTCAGTAGTTAGCTTTCTGCTATTAACATTCTTACCTTCCAGAGAACAACTAAGCTAAGATCTATATGTGCCTGATCCTCACCTTCCAGAGAACAATTAAACTAAGATCTATATGTGCCAGGTCCTCCAGACCCTGGTCCTGTGACGGTGGGGTGGGGGTGGTCTGGGGTACAGAAGGATCCCCCTCACTGCTACTTGACGCCAACTTCCACGTCTGGCGAGACTTAAAGCAGAAATCACAGCATGGGCTGCCTGTGCTACTGATCTGAAAGATGATGACAGTTTTGTTTTTATTATTTATTTTCTTTATAATATCATGATAATTGCTGATGTAAAACTTATATTTAAACAGGTTTCTGCTGTGGTTACATAAATCACTTTGAATTCTTACCTGATGCTGATCAAATGTGACATCTGAGAAAATCAGCTTTGATGATGACACTGTAATAAAAAAAATGACAATTTATTTGAAAAAAATCAATTTGGTTGAAAAAGCAGATTTGGTAAAAGGTAAAAAAACAAACAAAACAATCCTTTGGTTAACTATTACAGAAAAAAAAAGTCATGTCATCTGAGTAACAATGAACAAAGTTACAAGCACTAGTATATTTTAACATCACAAAAAATTACCTGCAGCACAGTCCTGACACCTAGTGGCCTTGAATGACATCAATAATGACTCTGTGGCACTTAACTTCATATCNGGACAGCCATTTGACTAATTATTGAGACAAAGCGCTCAACTTTCCTCACATTGCATCATATTCAAATTAGTGAAAATGAAGAAGTATCTGGCATTGTGCACCAAAGTCACAGTAAAACATATAAAAGCTAGTTTTTCATTTCCTAAAATAAATTACACAGTACAATGGATAAATGTAATATATTTTCTTATCAGCATATGCTAACTCACCTGTTCTTGTGGAAATTATGCAGTACCGTCATATTGTGCCGTAAGCATATCTTGAGTAGCTGAGAGACCAGTTCAGGATTGGGGTGGCTTGGCAATGAAGGGGCGCGGTCCTTGATTATTTTCACTGGGGCATGCTCTACAGGCACCTGTATGCATGGAATTAAATGGCAAAGTTTATCAACCTATTAAAATACCAGGGAAATTATAGAATCCATACACTAAACAATGTACATAAAACAAGTAAAATCTCATCCACTTCTATGGGTAAAACAGCAGCGAAATCAGATATAACAGTTAAAATAAACATAGCTGCTTTGTAATATCCTTCAGTTGCCAAGATACTTACAAGTTATACTCAAATAAATTTCAGTTTTTCACAATATCAAAAATATGTTAAGGCAAATTATCAATTTCTGCATAATTCTATGGATTTGTCCAGTTCACAAAAAGGACATATTTGATATATTTCACAAAAAGGAAGTTTTTATTAAATCTAACACTGGACTTACAATTTGGACAATCTTTTTTAAATTCTGTATATTTCAATCTCTGTATATATTTGTCCCTACCTTGCTCACAGCAGGGGAGTAGGCAGGGGTATCCAGGCTGTCTATATGGAGGTGATGTTGTCCCTGTATTGTCCCTATAGCACCACTCTCTGTCACCACCTTGAACTGATTATGAAGATAATATTGATGAACAAAATGGACTGGGCAAGATCTAGATAGAGAAAAATCTTGCCTATATTAAAAGTTTTGCTTTCAGTTCATGGTCAACCATTCAAAGCAAGTGAAGGTCAATCATTGTTTTCAAAATATTTTCTAAGCAGCATGACCAAATTCAAAGTTTCAGTTTCAAAGACTTTAAGGACTCCTTAAAATCATAACAGGTGTCATTATCAAGTTAAGAATCGAGCATTATTTTTGCTTTCTACAGTCTAACTTTCAAATGAGTAATTGCCAGTTTGTGAACGTTAACGAAAATCTTAGGCAATTTCTTAATGCTCAGTAGTTAGCTTTCTGCTATTAACATTCTTACCTTCCAGAGAACAACTAAGCTAAGATCTATATGTGCCTGATCCTCACCTTCCAGAGAACAATTAAACTAAGATCTATATGTGCCAGGTCCTCCAGACCCTGGTCCTGTGACGGTGGGGTGGGGGTGGTCTGGGGTACAGAAGGATCCCCCTCACTGCTACTTGACGCCAACTTCCACGTCTGGCGAGACTTAAAGCAGAAATCACAGCATGGGCTGCCTGTGCTACTGATCTGAAAGATGATGACAGTTTTGTTTTTATTATTTATTTTCTTTATAATATCATGATAATTGCTGATGTAAAACTTATATTTAAACAGGTTTCTGCTGTGGTTACATAAATCACTTTGAATTCTTACCTGATGCTGATCAAATGTGACATCTGAGAAAATCAGCTTTGATGATGACACTGTAATAAAAAAAATGACAATTTATTTGAAAAAAATCAATTTGGTTGAAAAAGCAGATTTGGTAAAAGGTAAAAAAACAAACAAAACAATCCTTTGGTTAACTATTACAGAAAAAAAAAGTCATGTCATCTGAGTAACAATGAACAAAGTTACAAGCACTAGTATATTTTAACATCACAAAAAATTACCTGCAGCACAGTCCTGACACCTAGTGGCCTTGAATGACATCAATAATGACTCTGTGGCACTTAACTTCATATCTGTAATTAACAAGAATGATCACTTTAAAATCCTGCATTTTGTTCCAAGTTTCTATTCATTTAATGTTAAAGCAAAGCAACAACTATTTGAAATGTATACAAGTTATTATTCTCAATAAATCATAAAAGGCGTCAAAAAATAATAAGCAAGTGGAAATGAAGATAGTGACTCAAATACTTCACAAGTGTCATTCTCAGTATCTGATATTTATGAACAGGTAAAAACTGCTTTTAGGTTAAAATACAAATTAAATGCTTAATCCCTGTGCGTGCGTGCGTGCGTGCGTTCGTGCGTGCATGCCTGCGTGCATATGTGTATGCTTGTTTGACCTGACACTGGGATACAACAGTGTTCAAAATGATAAAATCCACTTTATTCCAGGTGTGAATGAATTCTAGAACTCACCTGTATGTGGTCTGGAACTCAGATGATGCAGTGTCCAGGTGTATATTATCTTATAGAACTCACCTGTATGTGGTCTGGTACTCAGGTGATGCAGTGTCCAGGTGTATATTATCTTATAGAACTCACCTGTATGTGGTCTGGTACTCAGGTGATGCAGTGTCCAGGTGTATATTATCTTATAGAACTCACCTGTATGTGGTCTGGTACTCAGGTGATGCAGTGTCCAGGTGGGGCTGGCACAGGACACCTGCAGTAAGCTCACCTCCAGCACACTGGCATCAAACACCTGGAACAGAAGAGGACAGCAGCTGTCACACGGAGGTATGGTATGGTATGGTATGGTATGTTACAGTGCATGGTATGACATGTTTTTTATGATATTGTGTGTTATGGTATAGTGTACAGCAGCCAGCACATGGTATTATATGGTGTTCTGCAGCTTTCATATTGTATGGCATGCTGTGGTATAGGTCAGTATCAGGGGCAGATTGAAGCCGTCTTCAGGGTCTTCCCGAAAAACATCAAATTTTCAAGTTTACATTGACGGGTATCTAATTTTTTCTGTTGGAAAACGGTCAAAAATGATCATTTGGAAGACTGTCAGAAAATATCTCTGGATCCGCCCCCGAGTATAGTATAATGTGGTTACATGTAATGCAGCTATCATTTGGCACAGTACTTCATGGGATAGTGTACTGTGACTTTCACATGGTATGGTATGGTATGGTATGGTATGGTATGGTATGGTATGGTACTGTGCAGTCAAATGTAACTCTGATCAAGGAGTCATTGTGTTAGTTGTGCCAGCAGCACACTCACCTTCTCTGCCTCCAGTGCCAGCACCAGACTGTTCAGTTGTCCCCTCTTACTGGGAGGCAGCTTCTGGGCAGTGGAGGTCAGCTTCAGTGCATTGCTGGTCCTCATCACAGCAGTGTGGCGGACAACACGATGCCTGGAGTGGTCAAATTACATTTGCCAGTGAAAAGAAATGCATACATCGTATATAATATAATGTAAATGTATGATATACATAATATAAAGCCTGCATCTCATTTTTATTAAGATTTGATACAAGAAGAGAAAACATTCTACACCATTTGAAATATATACGTCCTTAAAAATGAACTCACCTCATCAATGGACATTTCCTATCAACTGGTTCATAATAAAACAGAAAATCCACATTATGGACTCCATTGATATCCAGTCCCCTAATCCACAGTGGGACACTGACCACTCCCCCTGGGTCTAAAATGTCACGTTTTAAGGGCACCTGCTGAGCGTCCTCCGCCCATAATTCCTTAACAACGTGAAGTTCATTGTGCACTGCTGACCCTGTCTGCTGGGAGTTGTACTGATATAAAGCAGAGGCCTGAGGGAGGGTGTCAGAGCTCCCAAAAGTACAGAATTTTGGATGGGAGCAGGCCATGTAGAGTTTGTGTAAAGGGAGAGGGCCCCTGTTGATGAACTCCACTGTCAGTTGTTGGACTTCTCCACACATCATTGTCTGGGGAACACCATACAAGTTTACCTGAGAGAAAATGACACTGTTTAATAATGGTGTAATCAAAAGATATAATAAGTCTTAGAGATACAGTTAAAAATCGCATATATTGAAAACAGGAAGAAGTTTTGGCTGCAGACCAAATTATCACTCAAAATCATTTAAATACTCAAAATATTAAAAAATATTTTTGATACGTAAATCATTTTTTCAGATTACAAGTATCAAATAATGAACAGGTATTTAGGCCAAAAATTGTGAAAATCCAATAAAGCATACTGGTTTACACTGGAAAATTTTCAATAACTTTGCTTTATTGTAAAATCAAAATTCCATTTAAATTTAAGCTTATTCTCCAACTTTGTAAATAAATAAATAAATACATAATTGATTAAATGTAATCCTTTACCTCTAACAGAGGCATCTTTGGCACAATCCGCACATCCAGTCTCCTGTCGGGGCCATAAATCTTGCTGCACTTTTCCACTTTGGAAGCATTGAGGCGCGGCCCCTGCACCTCTATCACTTGCTTCCCCCTCACAGAGATACCACTGATAAAACTTGGCTTCTGCTCACCAGGATTGCCAATAACATTGCCACTGGTGGCGCTGGTGGTGTTTGTGCTGGAACTGCTTGTACCCAGGTTATAGGCAATTCCAGTTATGTGAAGCTCTCCTTCTTTTTTAGGAATCACAGACAACTGGAGAGGCTCCGTCATCAGGGCCTCCAGAACTAACTCTGGAATCACCTCACTCTCTACCAGTTCATTGGCTAAAGTTTTCTGGGAAGAAAATGAAAATGTCATGCAGGACTATATTTGAGTAAATAACAAAAATATACTATAATATCTAAAATATGGCTCAGAAACTGTGGCTCTAGTATCAATACAGATAATGACAATGAACAGCAACAGAAAATATAAGCGATTATCATAAATATATGAATGCAATTACACCAAAAATTCATTACAAATATTGTTCAATCAAGTTCAAATAACAGAAGTCAATGTGCAAGTCTCTGTTCCTGGGAGTACTTATGGGAGATCTTACACAAAGCATTTCTTTTCAAGCACTATCACCATAAAGAGGCATATTCTACAATATGGTCACTTACTTTGCCAGTTTCTACATGTTCATTGGTGATCAACTGTGGGGGCTTTTCTTGATTTTGCTCTTCATCCACATGAGGTAGAAAACTCCACAGTAATACAATGTCAGTCAAAACCAGTGAAATCTTCAGTGGATTGACCAATGTAATCTCCACAAAGATGGGTTCTGTAATGAATACATATACTGATATATTGTTTCACTGAAAATAAATCAAGTTCTGCCATATGCCAATTTATAAGGATTGTGACAATTAAATTTATTATGATTTAATCTAGAAACGAAAAATCCTAATGGATTTAAAATGCAATGCAAAATAAAGCAAATGAAAAGAAAAAACTTCAACTTGAAAATATTTTTGATTTTCAGTCAAAAAAAATCTACTTACCCCCTATGACTGCCACAGGGTGTGAACTGTTGTTCGTGAGGTCAGAAAAGCACTGGACACTGGGCTTGAAGTTGGCTGGCACTTTGCCAGGTTTGCCGGATGCAGTTGCTGCCACCTTTTGTTCAAGTTCCATCCAAGACAAGCTTCTTCCATCATCTATAAATCCAACGCCTGTGGCAGGGGTCTTATTGCCTGGGAAAAGAATATAAAATTTAAAGAATCAAATATATTCACAAAATGTCCAAAAACTAAATGCCTTAGAAACTTAGTATCAAATAACGAAAAAAACTTCAAACTAGAAAACAGCAAAAGTGATATCCTTCCTTAGTTTGTGATTGCCATTATCAACAGCAAGGTCAAATTAGGGAGCTGAAGAAACCATAGATTTCCACTGTTGTTGGTGATATTATTATTATTTGAATTTTTATGTATTTGCCCAGTGTATAATGCAGAAGACATTTCCCATCAACAACTACAGTAAGTGTATTATGAATTACTGTGAGAGAGATGCAAGCCTCAAACTTGATACTGATGGCAAAGTTGCTTATAACATCTTTCACTCATGTCTATTTGAAAACTGTCACTAATTATATATGTAATGCATATTTCAATGTGCCTCAAATTAACAAAGCCACATTCCTAATAAGAAAGATCCCAAACACTACTGATATCTTAAAACAACAAAGGAAATTTACAACTGTGAATGGATACACAAATTCTTACAGCAAACAATGCATGGTCATTATAGAAATCAAGCACATGTGATTAGGGCTATAATATAAGCAGGCCAACCTTGTGGACACTGCCCAGGTTGACAGAGCAGTACTTTAGCTGTGTTTCCATTGACAGAAGGCAAAGGCAACTGAGGCAGGCCGTCCACACTGGAGCCTTGCTGAAGGTGTTGCTGGAATATCACCATATTTAAAGTTTATATGTAAGTTACTTTATAGATAAGTAAAGAGGTATATTACAAACTGTCACTAAATATTGGAGATCCACTGAAATTTACAGAAGTACTTCTAATATTTAATATTAAAGATGGAATGAATATTGTAGGTTGACTTCTAACAACCACTAGCATAAACAGATAAAACAATTTATATTATTTCAATCATTAAATGAAAGCTGTATTTTTTCAAGCAAAAAAGTATCATATTTCTTGAAATGTATGTCTTATAAAGCACAAACAAGCAAACAAAAAGGCAGTGCATTATTTTGAACAAAACATCAATGTTCAAGACCCCAAAGATGTTTGTGGAAAAAAACCACTATTTTTTGAGCACATTACCTTGAATACAAACAGGTACTCCTTGAGAAATGCCCCCTGCTGAGCAGGTGTCTGTTGACTTGACCTACATAACAGATGCCTGAGAGCTGAGGCAGCGTTGTCTAACTGTTTCAGATTAAAGGACTGCCTGCCCACTGTGAAGTTGATGTGATCCTAAACAGAGTATTAACAACATCTCCATAAATTATATCTCCATAGAAACCTATGTGTTTAGATTATGTCTTATTTAGAACAAATTAATGTGTACTAGATGTTAAGTCTCTTTTTGATATTCTTTTTTCCTGGGATCAGCGACAGTGATATATAATTTCAACAAGACTTAGTATGATTCACGAAAAAAAAGTAATTATTAAAATATATCACATCAGTTCAGCTGTCAAACTGAGGAAAATTGTCATGTACATCTGTTGGACATGCAAAATGAAAATGTCTGGTCTCCCAAGCTAAAAACAGTCTTACTTTCCATTGCAAGTATCAAGCATTAAGTTGGGTTAATATACTCAAATTTGTCAGCTCTCCTACAACAATAAGCTTCTTAGAATCATTAGGTGCTCCATCAAATGAGGAGGGCACAACATCATTATTGTGTCAGTCACACTGGAGTAGCGCTTGCAATATCTTCGTTTAGCCAAATCACTCCTTTTTTCTAACTTTTTTCTTTCGATGGCTTCAATTTAACTAAAACAAGTCAAGTCAACCTATTTTGTTTAGCCAATTTAAAGTGGTTTTAGCATTGGCTAGTGTTACTATTACCTCAGTCACAGCAGAAATATATCTGGCACAGATTACATATCTAGTAATTAATTCAGAAAATTTACGGCGAAACCTACCTCTGCGAGTATCCAGTCTTTCCCCTTATAAACCTGCAGTGCCTGGCTGTAGGCTCTGAGGGCGTGGCGTCTCTGGCCTGCCTTGTTAAACCTGTGTCCAGCCAGGATCATGTGGAATGCGTACTTTCTCACCATGGGCAGCTTCATGTTGATAAAACAGTGGCCAGCCTGCTCCAGCATCAGGGCACTGCGGAGGTCTGAGTCCTGGAAAGAGAGAAAAAAATTGCAGCATTGAATATAATGAATAAGATATAAAAGTCAGCTGTAAATATCGATTGGTCTTGTGATGTAATGTGAAGTGCGAAACCTGTCAAATCAGAGGCAGATCTTATGTTTTTATGAATTACAAATGTCCAATGAGTCCAGTGTTTGGGGACACTTAAAATTTGAGGATATATTATTAACAGGTATTGGGTACAAAAACATCTCTTCTCAAAATGTAAACATGGTTCTAGACAATTTACAATGAGAAGAAAATATAAGAAAAGCAAAAAATTAAGACAACTTTATGGAAAGCTGTTAAAAATAGAAGTGGTGACTTGGAAATATATCCTTAGATCACTTTTTGTACATGGGTGATCTCCAGGGGAAGGGTCTCTGATATACTTACATATAAAGACTGTGAAAAAAAACAAACATCAAAGACAATATGGAGCATATTAAAATCAAAACACACAAACATTTAACAGCACAATTTTACTATAAAATGAAATTGGAGAAAAAAATATAACAAAAACAAAATTACAGGTGAACAACAGAAATAATGTCAGGACAACTTGTAAACAAATACACACGAAAATGAACCAAAATATCCAATTTACGAGCATAGTTTTACATGGATTACATTGCATTTTCGTGTTCATTAAACATACCATGCAACAATAAGCAGCATCACGGGGCTAATTTCAGTATAAATCTTATTTCTGCCATATAGCTGAATACGTTCAGCCACAGCAAAAGTAACGTGATTGATGTTAAGAGTCGCTTAAATACCTTTTTAACCAATAACTGAATACGCTGAGCCATGCCAAAAGTCAGTTGCCCATTTTCAAAGCCAAAACAGTGATTTTCAATTAATTTTTTTCCTTGAAGCATTTTCCTTTATTGAGGACAGAGTAGCTTGTCTACCACAACAGGTGACAATTTAACCCAGCAAGATCCTAATGCAACAACTAAACACAATTTGTATAATAAATAAATAAATAAATAAATAAATAAATAAATTAATTAATTAATTAATTAATTAATAAATTAATGAATCCTGTACATGGGTTGGAGTGTGTTTCAGTTTTTTTTCACTAGATAATAAGCTTGTCCTGACTGTGACTTAGGGTCATAGAGACAAATCTCTTCACTTATTTCCAAAACTGAAAATTTCACCTACTGATACCATTCCAAAGAAAGTTAAAGTTCTTCTAATTCACTGCAAAGTAATCACAGCATTTGAACACAGAAATTTTTAAAACAGAAAATTGAAATTCTAATCATGTTAACTTAAAATTCCTACCAATTCTGATTCACTTTCATAGACAACAATGCGTAATGCATTGTATTCACTTACCTCTCCAAAAACCTTGATCGACTGCATTGAAATATACAGAAGAAAACCTCAAACAAAAATAACACCCAGGGTGTATAATAATCATACTAGAATACAGGGGATGTCACAACCACAGCACTGAGGCTTCATAAAATGCATAATCCAAATGAAAAAATATTGAAACCACAAAGCAGTCCAGTAAATCTTATAGACAGACAACATCACTGATACATGTAAAATTTTGTTAAATCAAATTCTCATTCAATGGAAAAAAATTAATGCATTTGCTCATTTTTAAAAAGGACTTCTGACCACTGAGATCAGATCCCATAAAATATGGGACTGGGTCTTTCAGAATTTTTCCAAACCATCTTTAAAAAGTACTAAGTGCATCAGTGTCCAATTTTTCAGTTAATATCCAACATTATGGTTTTTAGGGCATTATGGACAGCTTTATTTTCATTTGATGACTTTTTACAATTTAAAAATCATATCTTTCCGATTAACTAACTCATAATTAGATTCTGCTAGACCAGTTTATGTTTGGAAATTTCTTCATTGACTGGTCACTTTTCCTGTTTTGTGCCAGTCCTAAGAGCCAGTAGGCAATTTAAACATTGTGCTTATGTCCCCTCACCTCACTGGTCATCTTGATAAACTGCATAGCTGCCTCTGCATACATGCCTCTGCTCTTCAGTGCCTCCGTGCTCATCAGAGTGGCCCTGGTAGCAAACTGGGGAGACCTGGAGAATGGTAATAATAATTGAATTCAAAGACCTGCAGATTCAATTTTTTTCCTTTTTTCTTTTTGAAAGCATAAGTGAATAAAACCATCTATCAAAATAACAGATTTCTAATAAGATCACACATAGAGAAATTATTTTATATGTAGAAACTTTTAAGACAACCATTTTTAAAAAATTAACAACGTTTTAAGATATGAAGGCCTGAAATATAATCTTCTGAAGGCCCATAAATATAAACAGATTAAACTGTAAGAAATTACTGAAAATGCAATAAAATGAAAACAGCACAAAATTTAATGTCAAAATCTGGGTAAACTGTGAAGTACTTACTTTCACTGAAATTAAACTGTATTATTTAACCATATTCACTGTCTGCCAAACTTAATGCAATCAACTATTTGACTTACTTGCATGTGTTGAGATAGGAGGCAATGGCAGACTCTATATAATGTGCTGGATACTGTCTCTGTGTCTGACTACCCTGCATAAACACTGCCAGGCTGGCCATTTCCTGCAAGGGAAAATGTGGTAGATGTGATGCTGTCTCAACAGATGCAATTGGGGTCTCAATGTGACAATGAAGTCCTTTTGCACTCACAGATAAAATTTAAACATGGCCTCCAAGCATCCCACCAAACACCAATGCATTCACACACAAAACAGGAAGACTTCTTATCCAGAATAATCCAAACACAAGGAGTTACTTATATTGTAAATTACCATAATTAATATCTTAACTCAACAGAAACATTAACTTTTATATTAGAAGGCAAGTAAAGTATAGCAATGTACATATCTGCTGCTTGTGTGCACAACTATAGGTGTCTCTGGCTGTTTAATGCAAGACAGGACTAACCAGTGCTCCAGCGTGGTGTAGCCAAGCATGATCATTGTTGAAGTCTCTCTTCAGGGCATGATATGTCTGGTAAGCTATTTCATACAACTGGAACATGAAGGCCAGGTCTGCCAGCCGCCGTGTCTGCATTTCTGGGGCTTCAGGTGTATAGCTGGACATGTGAATTGTGAAAGAACAATTTAGCAAAAATTGCAATCTATGTTTTGCCCATGTTTGGCTTTTTGGTATAGCTGACAGCATTAAGACTAACTGGACAGCCATAGATGGCCCCAAGTTTAAATATCTGACCTGTATAATTCCCAATTACAAATAATAACTTAGTTAATTCTGTATGCTATGGAAATAACGTTACACTGTCAAAGGTACTGCACAAGATGATGAATAAAATGCTTACACCACTGTTGTATTGTTCGTAGGCTTGTCATTGGGTTTGTAGCCACCAAACCACTTCTTAGCACCACTGAATAAGGAACGCTTACGAGATGACACCTGGAGATATAAATGGTTTTAATGAAATGGCTTCAATGCAGATTTAAATACAAAACATTTATCCACCACAAGTAGTGAACCATGCCTAAATTTATTCTGAAATGTGCAAATTGGGAGCAGAAGACAAAATTTTCAAAACTTATATCAAAACTTTCTGTCCGTTTCAACATCACACTAATTAACCATTTCCAGCATGAAGAAATTATCTACTGTTTACCTGGTCATTTAAAGTCCTGATCATCCTTTCAGCCCATGGTATCAGCCCTCGAACCAAAAACTCATGAATGAATATCTTCAGCCTGTCATGGTCGCTTGGTGTCAGACAGAGTCCATGCTGACTAGAAGCCCCAACATCGCCATTGACTACCGGCCGAGCCTTAGCCTGTGTTTGATTGGGAATGCCTTTGGATTGAGCAGAGGGGTCTGCAGGTGTGCCATCTGTGCTGTCTTGCTGCTGCTGCTGCCCTCTGTCAGCCGTTTCGCTCCAACCACCATCTACTGTGTTGTCATCTAGAGGATGTGACATCACTGGGGCAGAGGCACTCTTCTGCATGCTGGGTTCTGAAAAGGCAGCAAAAACAAAATGGCAATTGAGCCTGCTGTAATAAGGCAAGGTGTGACAGAATATTTTTTTAAACATCATATCCACAACGGGCAAATCTTTAAAACATGATAAAAACTGACAAAATATGGAATCTTTAAGTGACTGGAATTGCCCAAGGCTCCATCTGATATGAGGGGGAACCTGAAATTGTCAAGAAGTGTATTCAGCAAACAGTGCCTATGGCATTAACAGTCATAGTTATCTAAAGCGAGGGTGTGTGATGCTGCTTGTACAATACATGAACAGTAATCTTTATGATTGGTACCTTCTTTGACCTCTGTAGCATCTTCTATGACAGTCTCCATGCGTAGTGTTCCCTCACCTTCTGTGACCCTGGAGGGAAAACTGGAGTCATTCTTGCTGAACAGGCTGGCTTCAATATCCAATGACTCCTGTAACATACAACAGTATAGTAACAATTAATGGGGGGATACTGTCTTCTTCAATCTTTGTATTCCATGAACAAACTCAACTGAAGCATGTGTTCAATTATAAATGCGCAAGTGCCAACTTGGCTAAATTGCTCAAGACGAGGCCTTTTTCAAAGTAAAGCATTTTATCATTTTTCTAGTTTCTAGCATTTTCTAGCATTTTATCATTTTTCAAGTTTCTTACATGTCACAGCAGGTTTTATTTACTAGAGAACACTTCTAAAATGAGGAAAATATCCATTAGCCATTGACTTCTTAAAACGTTCTAATGCCTTGGGAGTGTCTGAAATCAATATGACGTGAGATGCACGCATGAAAATATTAACTGTCCACTTACCGCATCGTTCTTTGGCATAAACTGGCTCCATGGATCAGGTTCATTGTTCAGGTTCTCCTTGCTGCTGACGGACCTAGAGTTAATCTGCAGCAGGTGACAGCTCCCTGCCCCGTACATGGACTTCATGCTTTGATACACTGCATCAGCCCTGAAGTGGCAAAATAGGGTAAAAACTTGAAAATTTCCTGACTTAAAAATTAACGAATTTTTTTAAATGTTGGAATCAGAGATGGCGATATTTGGAGACAAACTTTTCAAAATTATCAAGAGGCTCCTTTTCAAGTGTGATAAAATTTTCAAAAGATTTTCTTCTGCAGGGAATCATCTTCTGACAAAAATTTCAAGACCAACTAAATTTTCAAGTTTTTATCATGTTTGTTAATAAAAAATACAGAATTAAACCTGATAACATATTGAACAAGATCTACATACAGATAAAACTATGACTGATGTACATGTGCTGTACATCTCTGTGCATTACACATCCTATTAAATTTCTCATCATTATGAAATTGATTTCAAACGTGTTTCATTAGCAGTAAACAGGTTAACTTTCTTTTTCTAGTAGATTTCTCCTTAGTTCCTCTTTTAAAATATGATTTTAGCCTTAACACTTCAGTCTGATAATCAGATAAGTCTTAAAACTTCTTTTGGACCCCAGGAAACTTTGTGGATTGATTTTGTGCCAAAATCCCATACAAAATCCATCAATGCATGGAGCATAAATCATATCTGATTTCACAAAATCTGCAAAAGTAAAATGGTTTTGTGATAGTGGAAGATTTCAAAGGTGCAGACATATCGTTTTATCCACAATTAAAAAACATATATAATATTGCTTTAGCCCCCTACCTGCATGACTTTCAAACACTTTCTTACAAAAAATCGCAATGAAACTTTTCTCTCATCTCATTGTTACAAGGTAACATATCTTAATATATTGACAATAACAGAAAATCCCTTTGCCAGACACCAGATAGCACAGCCACTAGAGAGAAGACTTCCCAGGTAAATTACATATTCTACAGGATCATCTGCCTTCACCTGCTTATATTGATATATTTAATACATAGAAAACTATATCACTATTTATTGCAAAATAAATAAATAGATAAATAATTAAAATTTAATTAGATGGATAAACAAATAAATTATAAATACATAAGACATTACTTTGAAAGGGCAATTCTACACATTTAAATACAAGTGAATGATTGGGAAAATGTGAATTTTTTTTAGAAATAAAACATTTTACTGAGTTAAAAGTTTAATGACTGTGTATGCAATAGAGTTCCATAAAATATAAGTTTTAGATTTACTTTACTGCATAAGCAATGCTTTCTTCTTCTTATACAAAAGCATGGATTTGCCTAGCACTACTTTCAGAATGTCTCAACATATACACAATTGCATTTCCAAAAAGAAGTCAATGACAAAATGAATCGATTGAGATTTTTCATAGAAGGTTAGCTTTCTCTAACTGCAAATCAAAGGTTCAGTTACTCAAACTGAGAGATTTAGTTTAGTTTAGTTCAAACAGCTATTAAACTAAAAGCAAAACACAAAACAGCAAAAAAGGAACTGATTTCATTAGGTCTTTTTTTTAAACAGTATTATTCAAGGCAAGTGCATATTGGTATATGATTTAGTTGAGTGACATATGAAAAATGAGAATTCTTGCTACACAGAAAGCAAGTTGTGGCAGTGACATGTTACATAAGGGTCATACTCACTGCACCATCCTTGGGCTGTAGACATTTCTGGAATATACGGCCAGATTTATTCATGTTACCTATGTACCCTAGAGTTCATATTGAGGCTTAACCTTACCCCTACAGATTTTGAAAGCAAGTTATCATAATCTAACTTTTTTAAAAAATATATGTAGTTAAAACAAAACAAATAGTAAAATTGATATCAAAAGCTGAAATATTTGCCAGCAGTAATCTTCAGCGTTTTCAAAGTTGCACTTTGTCAGAGTGCAGATATATGATTATTAATAGGCCATTCCTTGATAAGTCTGGGCCATATTAGAAAGGCACAACTTTGTCCACTTTCCTGCATCTAATAAACTGCTAGAGCAGACCCAAGGTGTTGCTGCAAGTACTCTTTAGGCTGGGGAAGAGTTCATATTCTATAAGTCAGGACGTAAAACTTTTTTCTTTTTATAATTTGAATTTCTATATTATTGTTATGGTTACAGATATTGTTAATCTTAGACTATTATTATTATTTTTTTTTTTGGCCCAGGATAAAAAAGTTAATAAATCATTTTATGCTGAAAGAAAGACTACAGCATATGCGTTGAGTTGGCCAGTTAAAACCCTTGCATCAACGAAAAAAAGCACCAACACAGGCTACCTGTTCAGTGTACAATATTCATCAGTTCATTGTACCACCTGCGCCCTGTTCGTACTTACTTGGATTCCTCTCCTTCAGCCACATCATGCACCAAGACAAAGTACTTGAATGTGTTAGGTGAGAACCACTTGGGTGGCTTGGTGGGTGACTGGTGCTGCTGCTGATGCTGTTGTTGTGACAGCTTGGCAAACTGGTCCATGGGGTCCGGGTTGGAGGAGGATACGATGAACATACCTGGGGGAACAGTTCAGGAAAATAACTACTGCCAATAAGTCAGAGAACCTGGATGGCCTCGTTCCCTAATGCAGATGCTACATTAGACATTGAAATATGGGAGGTTAACTATATTAATAATCAGCTGTTGATTGAAGAAAAAGTTACTTTATTCTTACTATCTCTAAAAGTAGGAAAGGTGCTTCAAATTTCTGGTTACTGACAAAAATAAATAAATAATAATGAGATAATCTTTCAAAATTTCTTTACATTTTGTATTATATTCTCAGTGCAGTCAGTCCTTTTTTATATGGTCATGAAAATAATCACTCTGAGCAAATAAAAAACAGGATCTCCATTTCTTAAATCATAACCCTAGAATAAGGTTCAATCTGTTCAAGGATACAAGACAGGAAGTGCTTGAGGAACTCATGGTCTGATGGATAGGCCACTTCTAGGAAACAGTCCCGATACACCTCAAACCATGGGGTGGTGGCTTTGAAGAGAAGGCAATTAATATATACATTACAGGATTTTCTACCTTGTTAGGTTTTACATTTTAGCTTATGCCTGAATATCATGTCTTTTTAGAACTTAATTCAGATCTTTCAAATCATTGTTACACTATACAACCACTTATTTTAAATAGTAGTTCATTGAGTACTATGATACCATCAACATAAAATGTGACACATGAAATATGAAAAAAAACAGCACAATTCTGATTTAATACAAATAAAATATACCATATAAAACATTCCCGATGCCATCACTTAAAACAGACCATCAAATGTCAGACATACATCATGTACTATCTTCATCTATTCAGTCAGATAAAACTTACAGCTAATCTGGAGATCATAGTCTCCCACAGTTAGCACTGTCCCCTTGGTGTTGTCCATATTACTTGGGCAGGCTCCGGACACCGTCTCGTTCATGAGCCTCTTTGCCATGGTGGGCTGGTATAGAGACTGTTGCATGTCCTTGACAATGATACGGAGGCTCTTCACAACATGGGGAATGCCACCGGGGTCACGGATATGAGCTGAAGTAATGAACAAAACAAGTACTAATTTGGTCAAATGTTTTCTTCACATTCAAAAGTACGAACCCTTATTTTGTTTTCTTTTAAGAATATCCAAGATTCAAAAGTGACGACATATCGCATTCTTCTTTTTTGTAAGTTATTTAATTATTAACTAAATAGGTTTTTCTGTAAGTCGATTATACTCAAAATGAATGACATTATTAGATATGAAGGACTTCAGATCTACATCTAAATATTTTAAGCTGATACCTAATATCATTTTAAAAAACTCTTTACTGTTAATGATCCAAGTAGACTACAAAATCAAAACAAATTTCATGGGGATCAAAACAGTCCAATTGCACCAATCTGTGGAGACACTATGCAAAATACAAATTGTGGTAGGGTTTCAAGTACGTGTTTATTTTATGCCATACCTTCTGTGCTCAATCTGCAAAAAGGCTGAATTAATTGAACGAAGGAAAGATTATTTTTCTGGCACAATTTCTCTGCATCAGCGCTGCACAGTACAGCCACCATCGGACTGAAGGCATTGGTGATGAATTCCTCAGCCGTCTGCTTGCACTGGGCCATCTTTAGTGTCTAAGTACATACAACATGGGTTTTCCTGCTTTCAATATCAGTTTGTTCGCTTGAGCTTCTTAGTATCACGATAAATTTCTTTACAGCGGGGAGGAACTGCCTACTTTTCCTCCATGTTGGTCGATTTTGGGTACACTGCGCATAGTTGTGCGCAAGATGTGACACGAGATTTCAAGGTCAAGGTCTACTGTGGTCTCAACTACAGCATCCCTCCCCCCTCGCCACTCTTTTTAGAAAAATAAATTCTGGTTCTGTGTAGCCTGAAAACTACTCTTATCCTCCTTGCTTTAACATAGTGCAATCGATGTTATTATGCAATGGGAGATAGGGCCTAGAAAATAGACTTTTTTTCTTTTTTTTCATCAAATCTGTCATAATTGTTTAATTTGGAGAGACGATCGATAGGCCTACTCATCTATTTTCACGCACGATTTACTAGTTCTTAGGTTAGGTAAGCGAATTTCTACATAAAATGAACGCTGAGGCAAAGTTTTGTTGAAGTTTAAATGATTACAATAAATGTATAAGACCTACCTGTTACAATGAAAGAGCCACCCAATTTTAATGCAAGCGAAAAAAAAAAGAAACTATAATTTTGCTTGTGTTTATTAAGGAAAAACTCTCTGTTTGATATCCCTTTAATTTGAATTTAAAAAATCCTTGCTTTTTCTGTAGATAAGGTTAGTTTAGACCAGAAGTGAAAAATAGGAAAAAGACAAATGCCTCCTATTTCTATTAATAACAGATAGGAAATGAAAAAAGTTATAAATTATAAATAAATCCAATAAATAAATTTTCAGAAACCTCGAGTGCAGTTGAGATAGTCCTTCAGTTTAAAATTAATCTCTGTTGACGTGATCGTTTTAGCCTATCCACTGTCGCTGACTGTGCTTTATCAACAGCTGCAGATGTAGCGTTTATGAGGAGGGAAAGGCATCACGTAAACAGATAAAGTCATTCATAATTTATATCCTTGGTCGCTATGATAAACAGATGAAAGCGAAAGGTCTGCAGCTGTAGCCTACGTGACTTGATACTGGGAGGACATGAGATGAACACACGTACAGATCACGTGTAGCTATATAATGAACAGCAACTAATCAATCTATCATTCTGAATTCGACCCTGAGAGACCGACCCTGAGAGATTAAAAATATTACGTCTTCGACTGCGAGCGACTCCCTGGCTATCACTCACATTATAACACCGTTCCGTGAGGATTTACATATTTCGCCAGGCCAATTCACCGGTAAGACGATTGAAAACGTTTTCAGTTTTATGCTTTTCATTATTTTACTTTTCCGATATAAAATTTAATTGAATTTAACGAATGCGCATGACCACCCACATAACAAAACCTGTACGCTTTTTAAATTTTGAAATGAAACTTTTTTATTCAATTTAACCACAAACACTGAAGCGATACTTCAAATTCATTTAAAATTGGTTATATCATATAAACGTCAACAAATTTATTTTAGCATTTAGGTACGTGAGCCTTTCCAAAAAGATGATAACAGTATTTTGGACCTCGATAAGAAAACAATGTCTGATAACGATAACACTTCTACTGTGCATATCATTTCACGGGAATGTTGAATCAGCTGTTTACTGGGAAGAGACGAATGATGTGACGTATTGCACGTTGTCTCGTGATAAAGCATTACCCGACCCTGACTGGGGAAATTGCACCCCCAAACCCGAGGACTATCTTAAATGTGTGTATTATTGGACAAATGCATCTGCTACAAGTGCTAGGATTCGTACACACTACTTAAATAGAACCGATGCCGCTTACTCGGACTATGTGCTTTTCATCGGTCGGCCGCTCATTTATTGTATTGGACTGATTTGTAATATCTTGTCTATTTGTGTTTTCTCATTAAAAACGCTCCGCCAAGTTGCGACCTGTCAGTTCATGATTGCAATAGCAGTGTTTGACATTTTAACTATATTGAACGGATTTTTATACTGGATTGAATACGAGCTCCTCGTACCAGTGATAACAAGACATTTCGCTCTGTGCAAGATCTCCGTATTTACAATATACTGTGCACCAGAAATCAGTGCGATCACGTTGACTCTAATGAGCGCCGAGCGACTTATGAGAAACTTGAACACTTCAGCTCACGAAAGATGGTTCTCTATAAGAAGAACCCGTATGTACATTGTAGCTATTGTTTTGGTCATGGTTTTCCTGAACCTCTACATCTTTTTCTCCAACATATTTTTTAAAGAATGTTGTAAAAATGTTTGTTGGAATGTATATCATGAGGGCACAGGCGTATTACAACTCCATGAGAAAAACTGCAAAAATGGAAATGGCAGCGACTGTAGTAAGTATAATCACAAGCTTCTCTGTATTCTATTTGACGCCAGAAGGAGGCTTGAAAATCTGTTAAATTGATTGCATAATGCCACATATTCCAATTACCCTTAAAAATGTAGATTACAATTTACATGTTTAGTTGAACTTCCGTTCTTAATCAACATGAATTTTTTGTAGAGGAGAGCGTTAATTTATAAGCCATCATGAAAGGATCGCCTCCATCCACTGTAATGTTATACCCCCGTCACACTTAATTGGAATCAACAGGAATCAAGAAGAATGAGGCTGAATGAAGAATTTTAAAAATTCGCACCACATTCGGGAAAAAAATTTAATTGACCTTAATTATTGTAAGAGTACCGTTGGAATACTCAGAATGCGCTTGAATTCACCTGGAATCATGGGTGCACTTTCGGCTGTTTTAGCTCTCAAATGCAGTTCGAATGTAGTTGGAAAACTAGGAATATCTATAATGCTGTCAGAAGGCAGTAAGAATATTCAGAATATACTATGAATGGCGTACTAGTGTAGTTCGATTGCTGGCAAAATTAATATTTCACCTCATCCGAGGCACATTCGAAACATTCTGTAAAACTATTTGAGATGCACTCGGACTTTTTAGAATGCTCTTTGAATATCCAGGAATGCACAAAGAATTGTCTTTCCGACGGCATTCTAGTTCATTCTGCCTCTAGTGTGACGGGGGTATTATGTACTGTGAACTGTGCCAGAAGATCGTGCGGTCAAGGTTTCCTTATAGTTTGTCACACATATATATATATATATGATTGCACGATAATAAAATGTCAATTGTGACATGATCACCGATGTCATTTTCAGGCAATGTGAGTGCATTTGCCTTCTACAATGCCTACAGATGGGTGGCTCTGTCAGTTTACTGGATCTTGCCATTTGTCGGGTTGCCTGTCATCAACGGATGGTTACTATACGAAATATGGAAGGAACGACGTCGACGCAGCAATCAAGAATGCAGGCCGATTATTCCCATTCCAGACTTATCTGTTGAATGCTCGGGATACGACGAAGACAATGACAAAGAAATTACGAAAATGTTAATACTCGTGACTCTTTCGTATTGGGTTATGACAACGGGGTTTAACTTTATGCAGGCTGGAATAATTGACGTCTACCACGCTTGCACTCCCGATGAACTGGTTAGAAATTCTACCATCTATACAATCGTTATGCTTCTCTTTTACTTGAATCATGCATCGAATTTTTTTCTGTACTGCATCAGTGCTAAACCGTACCGCGACGAAGTGAAATGTATGTTTGCGCGCGGATACAGAGCTATCACGATGTTGTTGCGTACCATCGTTACAAAAATACAAAGTTCCTTTCATAATACAGAGAATGACAAGAGATTGAATTCCGTTCCAATATCATTTCATAAGCGTGCCATGAGGAGCTACAGCTCAACTGATTCGCTTTAAAATCGCCCAACACTACATCCAGTTGAATTTACGCGACAAATAATCCAGAACTTAGATCTTGTACGGTAAGCAAATGACTTATTCGGAAGAGGATATGCAGACACCATGAGACATGCTGAAACGCAACTGAAATGAATATATTTTATGCGTCTCTATCTCTCTTTACTTATAGTAACCTCCAAAAATCATTTTAATAAGCTTACAGTACATAATTTACCTTTGATTTTAAATGAGAAGTATATATACGATATTGATATATGTAATATGTGATTCATGATGATGTTGTTTTAAAAGAGTTTTGCATTGATAACCAAGAAGTGAAGAACTGGTAATTGTCCTTTCGAGACTGCAATTCAGAAAATGTAATAAGAAATAGAAAATGCAAAATAAAATGTTCAGTAATAAAGGCATTCAGCTTTCAGAATATTGATCAATAGATTTTAACCTTTAACTAGATAAAGAAACGCAGTTTGGAAATGGTCCTGTTATATAACTCGGCTGATAGCTTCCTGATGCAGTTGTTAGAGTTGGGTCGGTCTGAACACAGCAATCAAATGAGCCAATTAGTTAATAAGGCCTACATGCCGAGGATTTAATAATAATGATGATAATAATAATAAAACTATTTTGCTTGTCGATATCTACGCACAATGTATTATAAAAAGACTGTACTCGTCTACTATTTTCTGTGAAACGAGGAAAAGATATTAGTCCTTGTTCCCCCACCTACTTAGAAAATGAAATACTGGTTCTGTGTTCTGTGAAAAACTTTTTTCATACCTCTCTCTTGCCTTTTTTTTTAAATACAAGTATTCAGTGGGAGATTGGCCCCTGGAAAAAAATTACACTTTCTTTTTTCATCAAATCTGTCATACATGTAATTATTAAAATTCACAGAGACTATACTTTTCAATTTGTGACACACGTTTTCCTACTTGTTAACTTTAGGCTGGCGAATGTCTACATGAATAGAACACTGTAGCAAAGCTTTCTCATGGTTTTCATATATAGATCACCTTATACGTACGCTGTACAGCTGAAACGACCACTAGAGATATTAGCGAATGAAGACTTTTGTGCTTGTGATAATTTTGTTTTCAAAAATCACCGTTTGATATTCAGTTCATTTGGATTTTTAAATATCTGTTTAATAGGTAATGAGTACAGGTGAAAATAACAATGCATGCAATGTGCCCGTGCACCCTATGTTAATTATTACAATCAGTATATGGGACCTACACTTTACGATGACCAACCGAATTGTGTATATTGTACATGATTATTAAAATGAAATAAAAAAGAAAAAAGAAACTTTTTGGTTGTGTTTATTAAAGAAAAGATCACCGTTTGATATCCACTTTATTTGATTTGAAATAGTTGAAAATAGATAGACTTGCCCTTCAAGAAATCGACGGAAAATGGCTCTTTTTCAAATTTGAATGGGCACTGTAGAAAACATATAACAGCTAAAGCTCTCAAATTAAGCACATATGTGTGATATCATGTGAAGAATAAGTTCCGTAAATTTCAATCCAAGCAGTTGAGTACATTTTGAGACAGAACGCTTTAATTGCGCAGCAAACCGTAACGCTAATCCCTTCAAGACATGAAGATCTCGACGAAAACCGGAAGTGCGTCATGACGTCACTCGCTTGTACTTGGAAAGCTGCTGGGTGATTTTCCGATGAGAAATATTTCGTGGCTTATACAAATGTTCGGAAAATGACCATGTAGATAAAAGAAAATTTACTAATCAAAATTGAAACTGCGTAATTACATAGAAAAACATTGTGCATTTCTGACCTCGACTTGTCAGTTTAAACAAAGTGTACTGAACGCATCGCAAGCAAGCACGTGAATGCCGCGTTTGATACTTTGTATCAGACGCTTCGTTTTACTTACGATGGGCCTGACAGGAAAAACAGTGCAAAAATTACGCACTTCCGGTTTTCGTCGATTTCTTGAAGGCGTCGATTTCTTGAAGGGCGAGTCTAATGAGCGCATGTAGATAAAAAAAATGCGAACAATCGTCAATGTGTCCGCATCAGTGGTCCCATTTGCGTCCCATTTCGAAATCAGCGACCTAGCAGGTGTATAGGTTTAGTTTTGTGATAAGGACCTACAAGTCTCTGAATGTTCTTTTTTTATTTACGTGTGTTCAAAATATTTACATTCGAAGACAATGAGTAGGGCCTACAGGGAAATGTAGGGCCTACCAGCGCACCGGGTGCATGAGTCGGTGACACAACAAAGCCCGAATCGAGTCTTAGATACATACCGTTGTTTGCCTTTTTATAGATAAGGTTATAGATTAGGCAGAAGTGAAGAAGGGGAAATAACAGATAGGAAATAAGAAAATTAATAAATTAAAAATAAATTCACAATATCCCCGGATTCGCCATTTATGTTGCATTTATTAAAATGCATTTAGTAAGATTGTTGACTTTGCCAATGACGTCAAAATAACCGATGCGCTTTCCAAACGTTATTTGATAACAATATAATCGGTGTCTGTCGATCAGTTTTTTACTTTATGTAATTTCAATCTTTTACCATCGTTCACTACTACATGTAAATATTTGGGAGTGAGGTGGAGCTTTAGAACTGCTTGAATTTGCGGAAACCTCGCGAGCATTTGAGATAGTCCTTCAGTTGGGGTGATTGTATTGGCCTATCATTGTCGCTGTCTGTGCTTTTTCAATAGCTGCAGATTTAACGTTTATGAGGAGGGTGTGACGTCACACATAAACATAGATAATGCTGTTCATAATTTATATCTTTGGTCGCTATTTTAAACAGATGAAAGCGAAAGGCCTGCAGCTGTGCGTGACTTGATACTGGGAGGACATGAGATGAACACACGTAGAGAGCACGTGTAGCTATATAATGAACAGCCATTATTCAATATATCATTCTGAATTCAACTGCCATCCTTTTGAGATTGAAAAACCACGTCTTCCACTGTGAGCGGCTCACAGGCTATCACTCACTGCACTGTAACACTGTACTGTTCCGCGTGGATTTACAAATTTTGGCAGATCAATTCCACCGGTAAGACGAATGAAAACGTTTTCAGTTTTATGCTTTTCCTTTCTTTTTTACTTCTTCAGATACAAGAAAAAATATTTATTGAATTCAACTTTGAACAAGCTCAAGCGACTACCTATAAAACCTGCACGCGTTTTAATTTTTGAAATGAAACATTTTTTTATCCAACTTAACCACAAACAATTACTAATTAAACGACATTTTAAATTTAAAACTTAAAATTAAATTGTAAAATTGGTTATATCATACATGTATAAACGTTAACAAATTTATTTCATCACTTAGGTGATTCTTTCCAAAAAGATGATAAAAGTATTTTGGACCTCGATAAGAAAACACTATCTGATAACGATAACACTTCTACTGTGCTTATCATGGCACGGGAATGTTGAATCAGCTGTTAACTGGGAAGAGGCGAATGATGTGACGTATTGCACGTTGCCTCGTGATAAAGCATTACCCGACCCTGACTGGGGAAATTGCACCCCCAAACCCGAGGACTATCTTAATTGTGTATATTATTGGACAAATGCATCGGTGACAAGTGCTAGGATTCGTACACACTACTTAAATAGAACCGATGCCGCTTTCTCGGACTTTGCGATTTACGTCGGTCGGCCGCTCATTTATTGTATTGGACTGATTTGTAATATCTTGTCTATTTGTGTTTTCTCCTTAAAGACGCTCCGCCAAGTTGCGACCTGTCAGTTCATGATTGCAATAGCAGTGTTTGACATTTTAACTATTTTGAATGGATTTTTATACTGGATTGAATACGAGCTCCTCGTACCAGTGGTGACTGCACATGTCGTTCTGTGTAAAATATCCGTATTTACAATATACTGTGGGCCAGAAATCAGCGCGATCACGTTGACTCTAATGAGCGCCGAGAGACTTATGAGAAAACTGAACACCGCAGCTCACGAGAGATGGTTCTCCATTAAAAGAACCCGCATGTACATTGTGGTTATTGTTTTGACTATGGTGCTTCTGAACACATACACCTTTGCTTCTGACATATTCTTTGAAGAATGTTGTAAACATGTTTGTTGGAATATATATCATGATGGCACTGATGTGTTAGAACTTCATGAGAAAAACTGCAGAGAAAACATGGGGAACAACTGCGGTAAGTATACGCCTTCCACCAATGGTTGAGATCATTAGTATTTATAAGGTAAACAGGTGGAGTTTTAGCAGGATATACGCTGATAAAACCATGTGTTCCTGAGTATTAAGGTGGGGAAGAGGGCGTAATTAATTAGATTTTTAATTTTTATTTATTGACTGATTTATTTGTACGTGTTTATATATTTTAAAATGTATCAGTGGGTTTGATTTTACGCTAATCGCCAGAGAATCATGCGGAGAAAGGTGTATCTTTTATTATTCACATATCGTTGCACAAAACGTTAATTTTGTCTTGATTATTGATTTCTTTTCAGGTGATATGGGTGCACTTGCCTTCTACAGTGTCTACAAATGGGTGGCTTTTTCAATTTACTGGATCTTGCCATTTGTCGGGCTGCCTGTCATCAACGGATGGTTACTGTACGACATTTGGAAGGAGCGACGACGACGTAACAATCAAGAATGCAGGTCGATCATTCCCATTCCAGACCTACCTGTTGATGGCTCGGAATACGACGTAGACAGAGATAAAGAAATTACGAAAATGTTAATACTCGTGACTCTTTCGTATTGGGTTATGACAACGGGGTGTAACTTAATGCAGGCTGGAATAATTGACGTCTACCACGCTTGCACTCCCGATGAACTGGTTAGAAATTCTACCATCTATTCAATCTTTATTCTTCTCTTTTACTTGAATCATGCATCGAATTTTTTTCTGTACTGCATCAGTGCTAAACCGTACCGCGACGAAGTGAAATTTATCTTTGCGAGCGGTTACAGAGCCATCGAGACGTCGTTGCGTAATAAGAACGAATCAAAAATGCAAAGTCGCTCTTACAATACAGAAAGTGACAACAGCGTGAATCTTGCTCGAGCATCATTTTATATGAGTGACGGGAGCCACTGCAACTCAGTTGACTCACTTTCAAATAGCACAACGCAACATCCAGGAACACCTTCAGGTCGAATATGAATTTACACAACAAATAGGCCCTAATCCTGAAGTTCCCTCAGCAAAATGAAAAGTTTGCAGTTTTCAGGAGTTTTCAGGAAAAATCTGTATTGTTGCCATTTTGCAAGAACATAAAAATTCTTATATTTTGCTAAAGGTCAGATCTGCATCAGTGCTAAACCGTACCGCGACGAAGTAAAATGTATGTTGGCGCGAAAACAGAGCAATCTTGTTGCGCCATACAACATTGGTCAAAAAGGTTGTCCCACCCCCAGCATCATGTGCTTTTCTTTATAAATGACCACCTCACCGGTGAAATTTGTTATAAATAGTGATTTTCATTCCAGATACCATAACTAACATGATTAATGGAACAGTAAATACAAACTAGTAGTGAAGATACCAATATTTAATACCATTTATTCACATTAAATACATGTACCCCTTTCAATCGGACGTTTCACTGTGATATTCACAGAGGCAAAGAAATGTCCATTATATTGAAAAGACACCACCAAATGTCACCAAATTTACACACATTTAGCATTAGGGTGTGTTCGTTAAAGGTCACGTGCCTAATAGCGTGTGTGTCTACCGCGTACTGTAATATCTCCTGTAGGCGGCGCGGCTTGCCTTCAACAAGGATAACAATTCTGTTTTGTATTTATCAAAAAGCAAATATTAAGTTTGGTGACTTTGCCTACGACGTCGAAACAAGACGCTTCCAAAACGTTACCTTCACACCTTTAAAAAAGAGTGAGGTGGCAGTTTAAAACTGCTTTAAGTGACTTTATTTGCAGAAACAACGCGAACATTTGAAATAACCCTTCAGTTTTTATTTAATCTCTGTTGGCTCTGTTGTTTTGGCTTATCACTGCCACGGACCGTGCTTTATCTATAGCTGCAGAGGTAACGTGTATGTCGTCACATTAACAAAGATAAAGTACTTCGTTTATAATTCATCCGATTAATATCCTCTGTCGATATATGATACCGAAAGGTCTGCAGCTGTACGTGACTTACCAATGGTAGGACATGAGGTGAACACATCCCGTTATCAGTTGAATTGTCATTAGTCAGTTGATCATTTTGAAGTCGACTACCATCTCATAAAGAGCCAATAGCTACATCTTCGCCTGTGAGCGTCTCACTGTATTAGAACACCGCTTTGTGTGGAAGTTTGGTGAGATCAATTTTACCGGTAAGACGAAAGGAAATGTTTTTTGTTATATCCCTTCCGCTATTCCAAATAGTTTCGAGAAAATTAAGTAAAAACTTGTTACGAACGCACCTGACCACTTATAAAATCTACACGCGTTTTAATTTTGAAATGAATTTATCATATTTATTATGAATAATCACGCAAACAATATCACTAATTAACGATATTTACATTCGTTTAACACTGTTTTTTTTAAATAAACATAAAAATTATTTCAGCACTTGGGCGATACTTTCAGAGACGATGGTGCTAGTATTTTGGACCTCGATAAGAAAACAAAATGTGATAACGATAATACTCATACTGTGCGTGTCATATCACGGGAATGTTGAATCATCCATTTACTGGGAAGAGGCGAATAATGTGACGTATTGCACGTTGCCTCGTGATAAGGCATTGCCCGACCCTGACTGGGGACCCGGAAATTGCACCCCCAAACCCGAGGACTATCTTAAATGTGTGTATTATTGGACAAATGCATCTGCTACAACCGCTAGGATTCGTACACACTACTTGAATAGAACCGATGCCGCTATATCAGACTATGTGATTTACGTCGGTCGACCGCTCATTTATTGTATTGGACTGGTTTTCAATATCTTATCCATTTGTGTTTTCTCACAAAAAGAGCTCCGCCAAGTTGCGACCTGTCAGTTCATGATTGCAATAGCAGTGTTTGACATTTTAACTATATTGAACGGATTTTTTTACTGGATTGAATACGAGCTCCTCGTACCAGTGATGACTGCACATGTGGCACTGTGTAAAATATCCGTATTTACAGTATATTGTGGACCAGAAATGAGCGCGATCACGTTAACTTTAATGAGCGCCGAGCGACTTTTAAGAAACATGAACACCGCAGCTCACGAGAGATGGTTCTCCATTAAAAGAACCAGTTTGTACATCGTGGCTATTGTCTTGGCTATGGTGCTCCTCAACACATACATCTTTGTCTCCGACATATTCTTCAAAGAATGTTGTAAAAATGTTTGTTGGAATATATATCATGATGGCACTGATATGTTAGAACTTCGTGAAAAAAACTGCAGAGAAGACATGGGGAACAACTGCGGTAAGTAGGCTCTATGTACCTTCCACCAGTGGTCGAGATTATTATTATTATTTTTTAAAGGTAAATCAGGTGGATTTTAGCAGGGTATACGCCATTAAAACTATCCGCGCCTTAAGGTGGGGAAAAAGGGGGACTAAAACCACATTTTGATTATATTTTGAGTATTTTTGTGTGGGTGTTTATACTAACTACCAGTGGTTTGATTTTACGCTAATTCTTGGGTGCGGGATATCTAGGCTTAGATTTTACAGTTTTTTCACTAATGAATTCACAGACATATTCATAAACAAATACGACATCATGCTTTGCTTGTAATAGGTACATGTAGGACAGTATGCGATTGACAGGGTAATGTGATTCGTAATATGATTGTAATCCCTGAGATTGATCACCATGCTCTACCACAGGTTTTACAACGGTAAAACTTAAGGCCCCGTCACACTAGAGGCGGAATGCCGTCGGAAAGACTATTCTTTGTACGTTCCTGGATATTCGAAGAGCATTCTAAAATTTCTAAGTGCATTCCAAATATTTTCACCCATTCTTGTGACCGATCCGAATGTTTTGCTCATGCTCAAAACGTTCGAAGTGCATTCCAACTGGAGAAATACCGAATGGCATCCTAAGTGTATTCTCACTGCACTATGAGTGCATTCTAAATATTCTTAGGGCATTTCGACAGCATTCGAAACATTCTGATCGCGTTCGAGGGAGAATCGAAATGGCAAGACACTTCAAATCCTGCTAGAATGAGCCGGAATGCTACTCAAATGCATCTCGATGACTGCCAAAATCCTATTTCAGCCAGCAATCGAACTACACTCCCACTGCATTCGAAGTGTATTCTAAATATTCTGACTGCATTCTGACAGCATTATCGATATTCCTAGTTTTCGTACTACATTCGACCTGCATTTAAGAGCTAATACAGCCGAAATGTGCACGAATCATTCCAGGCGGATTCAAGCGCATTCCGAGTATTCCAACGGCATTCTTACAAGAATTTAGGTCAATTTGAAATTTCTACCCGAATGTAGTACGAATTTTGAAAATTCTTCATTCCGGCTGGTTCCGCTTGATTCCTGCTAATTCCAAATAATTGTGACGGGGCCTTTACTGCACTAGTAATCGGGCACGTGCTTGTTATCTAAATCGATACACTTGCCTTTGTCGCCAAATGCTACTTAATCTTGTTCTTGACCAGTTATCTTCTAAAATATGAAGATTCCAATTTTCAAGCTTTTTCATTTTGTCAGTCTTATCTAGCATGGTTATTACAAGTAGAGGAGATGATTATTTTATCAGCCATCACGTCAGGGGTTTCCCCAGGATTTGGGGTACAGGGAATCCAAAATGTTACTTTGTAATTTGGTCACTGATTTCTTGGAGCCCAACTACAAATATAGTATCATTTCCCAATAATTTCTTAAGCCATCCAGCCATTTTTGAAAATATAGGCCGTCTTCTGAAGCAAGTGACCGTTCAAATAACGGCTGGACGCCCCCCTGGGGAAAGCCTTGCATCGCGTACAATGATGTCTCTATTATATTCCACATATCGTTGCACAATATGACGCCAATTTTGTCTTGATCATTGATGTCATTTTCAGGTATTATGGGCGCACTTGCCTTCTACAGTGTCTACAGATGGGTGGCTCTGTCGATATACTGGATCTTGCCATTTGTCGGGTTGCCTGTCATCAACGGATGGTTACTGTACGAAATATGGAAGGAACGACGACGACGTAACAATCAAGAATGCAGGCCGATCATTCCTATGCCAGATCTACCTGTTGATGGCTCAGAATACAAAGACAGAGATAAAGAAATTACAAAAATGTTAATACTCGTGACTCTTTCGTATTGGGTTATGACAACGGGGTTTAACTTTATGCAGGCGGGAATAATTGACGTGTACCACGCTTGCACTCCCCATGAACTGGTTAGAAATTCTACCATCTATACAATCTTTATGCTTCTCTTTTACTTGAATCATGCGTCGAATTTTTTTCTGTACTGCATCAGTGCCAAACCGTACCGCGACGAAGTAAAATGTATGTTTGCGCGCGGATACAGAGCTATCGCGATGTTGTTGCGGACGATCGTAACAAAAATACAAAGTAGCTTTTATAATGCAGAGAATGACAAGAGATTGAATTCCGTTCGAGTATCATATCATAAGAGTCGCTGCAACTCAATTGACTCACTTTAAACTCGCACAACGCAACATCTAATCCCCAAACATGAATTTACACGACAAATATGCCCTAATCCTGAACTTCCCTTAGCAAAATGAAAAGTTTGCAGTTTGAGGCCAGGAGTTTTCAGGAAAAACCTGTATCGCTGCTATTTCGCAGCATATTTGCAAGGACATTAAAATTCCTTTCGAAAATTTGCAGCAAATTTACGTCAGGTCTGATATTTTGCTAAGGGTTAGGTCTTGTACGGTTAGCAAATGCTGTACGTTTGTCAGAAGAGGATCAGTATATAATAATAATAATAATAAAATAATAATAACAATAATAGAAAAAAAACGGGACTGAGTGGGAGTCGAACCCAATCCACCGAGCATGGCAACCAAGGACGTTACCACTGAGGAGCAAATCATGCTATCTGATAATACATAATACCTGTCACGAAGCTTTTCGGAAATTGCCGAAATAATATACTTTCAAAATATACTTTCAACAGTTATAATCAAATTCACACTATCTCCCACTGCCCTGAGGTATTGTTAACACTTGCAGTTGTCAACAGATCGTTGTAGTTTGGGAGAAAACGCCGTGAAACATGATGAAACGCAACTGAAATGAATATATTTTTTATGCGTCTCTCTCTCTCTCTCTCTCTCTCTCTCTCTCTCTCATATTTATTAATTTCCAAAAAAAAAAAAAAATTTTTTTTTTAGTTTTAAGAAACATACCGTACGTAATTTACCTTTGATTTTAAATGAGAAGTATACAGCGAAATATATACATAATATGTTTCATGATAATGTTGTTTTAAAGAGTTTTGCATTGATAACTAAGATGTGAAGAATTGGTCATTATCTTTTTGAGAGTACAATTCAGAAAATGTAAAATAAAATGTTTAGGACGTAATAAAGGCATTCAGCTTTCAAAATGTTGATCAACAGATTTTAACTAGATAAAGAAATGCGGTTTGGAAATGGTCCTGTTACATTGTATATAGGCCATAAGCTCGGCTGATAGCTTCCTGATCTGTTGTTAGAGTATGCGGCCGCACGTTAACGTTAGATCGGTCTGAACACAGCAATCCAATGAGCCAGTTAGTTGATATAGGCCTACATGCCACAGATATGTTCATAATTTAAATAATAATAATAATAATAAATCCAATTCGCTTGTCAATATCTACGCACAACGCAATATAGAAAGACTGTACTTGTCTACTGTTTTCTAGTTAAACACATTAATCCTTGTTCTCCTCCTGCTTATAAAATGAAATACTGGTTCTGTGAAAAACTTTTTTCATACTTCTCTCTTGCTTTTACTTTGAATTCAAGTAGGCTCTGGAAAAAATTACATCAAACTTTTCAATTTTTCACACAGATTTTCCTACTTCTTTTAAGAATGTTATTAAATTAAAATATTAGTCTGGCGAATGTCTACATGAATAGAACACTGTAGCATTCTAATACCTTTAATATAGGTCACCTTATACTTTGTACAGCTGAAACGACCACAAAAGAAAAGCGAATCAAGACTTTTGTGCTTGTGATAATTTTTTTTTTCAAAAATGACCAATTGATATTCACTTTATTTGGAATTGAAATAGATAATGAGGACAGGTTAAAATAACAATGCATGCAATCATCAGTGTGTCCGCGTCCGTACACGCTATGTATAGAGGTTAATGCTTCGCTCGTTCGTACGTAACATACGCAAACGTAGCTTGTGCAGTGCTGCACTGCATGGGTATAAATTACTTCCTGACCACAGGGGGCGCTAGTAGTCTGTGACAAAACACAAAATCAGTGGCACACAAAATATGATCAGTGGCACACAGTGTAATTTTGTACACTATTAGGGGAGTCCATGATATCAGAGGGTAGATACAAATAAGGGTGTGTTTGTACTGAAGCCGGGTAGTATCTCAGTTTGATAGTAGGTGGTCTACCGAGTAGGATCAATTTCACGTGAGGCCCTCCTTGTCTCTTTTTATTTACGTGCATTTAAAACATTTTCATTCGAAAATAATAAGTAAATGGAAAATGCACCAGTGCAACAGTAGACAAAGTAGGGGTCTCAGATTCAGAACCAATGCTTGATGACGACTGGATAAAGAAGAACTTATTCTGTATTAGGCCAGAAACAAGTACATGTAACAGAAGAAAGAAGAGTACCTCCTATTCCTAATAGGAAGAGACAGAAATGACAATAGAAATCAAATTATAAGGCCCCTTCCCTTTCGACGTTTCTTCTGTATTTATCATAAAGCCAAGTTGTCTACGACGTCTAAACAAGACGCTTTTAAAACGTCACTTTGACACTTTTAAACAGGAGTGAAGTGGCGTTTTCGAAGTGCTTTAAATGACTTAATTTGCCGAAACAACGCAAACATTTGAAATAACTCTTCAGCTTTTATTTAATCTCTGTTGACTTGGTTGTTTTGGCCTATCATTGCCACTGACTGTGCTTTATCTATAGCTGCAGAGGTAGCGTGTATGACGTCACATTAACAAAGATAAGGTACGTAGTTTATAATTCATCCGATTTATATCCTCTGTCGATATATGATACCGAAAGGTCTGCAGCTGTACGCGACCTAACATGAGGTGAGCACATCCCGTTATCAGTTGAATTGTCACTAATCAGTTGATCATTCTGAATTCAACTGCCATCCCCTGAAGAGCCAAGAGCTACGTCTTCGCCTGCGAGTGTCTCGCTGTATTATTGCATCGCTTCGTGAGATTTTAAGTTCCGTGAGATCAATTAAACCGGTAAGACGAAAGAAATTGTTTACCTTTTCACTATTCCAAATAGTTGCAAGAAAATTGAGTTAAACTTGTGACGAACGCGCATGATCAATTATAGAATCTGCAAGCGTTTTAATTTTGAATATATATCACATTTACTATAATTAATCATGCAAACAATTTTTCATTAAGCGATATTTTTTATTCATTTAAAATTGGTTATATCATATAAACATAAACAAATTTATTTCAGCTCTCAAGTGATTCTTTTAGAGACGATGGTGCTAGTATTTTGGACCTCGATAAGAAAACAATGTCTGTTAACTTTTCCACTTTTACTGTGCTTATCATGGCACGGGAACGTTGAATCATCCATTTACTGGGAAGAGGCGAATAATGTGACGTATTGTACGTTGCCTCGTGATAAGGCATTGCCCGACCCTGACTGGGGACCCGGAAATTGCACCCCCAAACCCGAGGACTATCTTAAATGTGTGTATTATTGGACAAATGCATCTGCCACAACCGCTACGATTCGTACACACTACTTAAATAGAACCGATGCCGCTTACTCGGACTATGTGATTTACGTCGGTCGACCGCTCATTTATTGTATTGGACTGGTTTTCAATATCCTATCCATTTGTGTTTTCTCCCAAAGAGATCTCCGCCGAGTTGCGACCTGTCAGTTCATGATTGCAATAGCAGTGTTTGACATTTTAACTATATTGAACGGATTTTTTTACTGGATTGAATACGAGCTCCTCGTACCAGTGATGACTGCACATGTGGCTCTGTGTAAAATATCCGTATTTACAGTATATTGTGGACCAGAAATGAGCGCGATCACGTTAACTCTAATGAGCGCCGAGAGACTCATGAGAAAACTGAACACACCAGCTCACGAGAGATGGTTCTCCATTACAAGAACCCGCATGTACATCGTGGCTATTGTTTTGGCTATGGTGCTCCTCAACATCTACACCTTTGCCTCTGACATATTCTTTAAAGAATGTTGTAAAAATGTTTGTTGGAATATATATCACGATGGCACTGATATGTTAGAACTTCATGAGAAAAACTGCAGAAAAGGTGTGGGGAACAACTGCGGTAAGTAGGCTCTATGTACCTATTATTTTTAAAAGGTAAACCAGGTGGGTTTTTATCAGGATATACGCCATTTAAACTATATTAAGGTGGGGAAGAGGGTGTAGGGAGCATTTTGATTATATTTTTATTTTTATTATTTTTGTTTATATTACCAGTGGTTTGATTTTACGCTAATTTTTGGGTGCGGGCTATCTACGTTGAAATTTTACAGGTTTTTATCATTAATAAAAATATACGACGTATTCATAAACAAATTTGACACCATTTCACCATGCTTTGCTCGTAATAGGTACATGTACGTAGGCAAGTATATGCGATTTTAGTGTATTGATTTTACGCTAATTCGCCAGACTTGGGTCGCCAGACGGGCTATCTCCGGTGAGTTTTTTTTTACAAATTGGACTTGTCAATTTCGACATGATCATCGATTTCTTTTCAGGCAATATGGGTGCACTTGCCTTCTACTCTGTCTACAAATGGGTGGCTCTGTCAATTTACTGGATCCTGCCATTTGTTGGGCTGCCTGTCATCAACGGATGGTTACTGTGCGAAATATGGAAGGAACGACGACGACGTAACAATCAAGAATGCAGGTCGATCATTCCCATTCCAGACCTATCTGTTAATGGCTCGGAATACGACGTAGACAGAGATAAAGAAATTACGAAAATGTTAATACTCGTGACTCTTTCGTATTGGGTTATGACAACGGGGTGTAATTTCATGCAGGCTGGAATAATTGACGTGTACCACGCTTGCACTCCCGATGAACTGGTTAGAAATTCTACCATCTATACAATCTTTATGCTTCTCTTTTACTTGAATCATGCGTCGAATTTTTTTCTGTACTGCATCAGTGCTAAACCGTACCGCGACGAAGTGAAATGTATGTTTGCGCGCGGTTACAGAGCCATGTCGTTGCGTAATAAGAATGAAACCAAAGTACAAAGTTGTTCTTACAATGCAGAAAATGACAAGAGAGTGAATCTCCCTCGAGTATCAGTGTATATGAGCGACGGGAACCGCTGCAACTCAATTGGCTCACTTTCAAATAGCACAACGTAACCAGGGATATCTTCAGGTTGAACATGAATTTACACGACAAACAGGCCCTTATCATGAACTTCCCTTAGCAAAATTAAATGTTTGCAGTTTGCTTTCAGGAGTTTTCAGGAAAAATCTGTATTGCTGCAATTTAGCAGCATTTTTGCAAGAACATAAAATTTCTTTTGAAAAATTGCAGCAAATTTACGGCAGGTCTGATATTTTTGCTAATGGTCAGATCTTGTGCGGTTAGCAAATGTTTTACGTTTGTCAGTGCAGGATCAATACAGACCTAAAGCCAGACGCTGTGAAATAACACAAATGAGATGAATCCATTTTATGCGTCTCTCTTTCTCTCTTTTTTAAATTTTACTT